CAATTTAGAATTTACACTACCCCAGAATGCTTCCACATAAGTTTCAGCTTTTCTGGCCCAGTGGTTCTTGAGAAGAAGATTTTCAAAGATTTTTCCTATATATTTCTATGTAAAAATTTGATTTCCCATTGTGGCCCCACCCTTCCCCCGGGAGTCATGATTTTTACAATTTAGAATCTACACTATCCCAGGATGCTTCCACATAAGTTTCAGCTTTTCTGGCCCAGTGGTTCTTGAGAAGAAGATTTTTTAATGACACCACCCTATTTTCGTCTTTTCTTGATTATCTCCCCTTGTGAGGGGACTTGGCCCTTTATTTTAACAATTTAAATTCCCCTTCACCCAAGGATGCTTTGTACCAAGTTTGGTCAAAATTGGCCCAGTGGTTCTTGAGAAGAAGTCGAAAATGTGAAAAGTTTACGGACGGACAGACGGACGGACGGACGGACGACGGACGACGGACAAAATGTGATCAGAAAAGCTCACTTGAGCCTTCGGCTCAGGTGAGCTAAAAAAAATTAATCAATTTTGCTGTCATACAAATGTATTAATGTTTTAAGGACTCGCTTATGAATCAGACGTTAAAGAATTGGACCAAAATCCAACTTTTAGGAGAGTAAAATATATATTAAAACTTTCTGAAATTATGTTCATTACATGTAAAAAACATAATATGAATAAGAAGAGAGTATACATGTACACCATAGATGTTTAACAAAAATTTTACACAGACATGAAAGGAAAATGCTGGTCATAAAATTGAAAGTCTGACAGTAAAAGTATCTATTGTGTAATTTGATCTTAGTTAACACATTTATATTTTATAATTACCTTTTGGCCAATTTTAACGTATTGTGAGAACCAGTCCTTAACATTTGTATTGTTGCCTAGCAACATTCCACTGACAAATCCTACAACGTCTGTGTTTGAGTCTCCAGAAATTTCTGATGGGGGTTTGTCTTTATTCATTTCCAAGGTCAAGGCCATAGCTAATCCTGGCATCTTGCAATTCTCTACCTGAAATAATGAGTAAATAAGATTCTAAAATGAATTCCATTTTTAAACATCACAATGATCAGTATACTGGAACATTACACATTTGTAATTTATTTGTACTCTCAAACACATGTACAGTTTTACTGCTTCCCATTAGAAATGGGATTGGACACAAGACCCACTACCTAGAACATTCTAAACAATCTAATGATCTAATGGTGACTCGCTGATAAGAACTTACGCAGAGGGCTCTGATGTTGTACATTTCTTTTGGGTTCATCCTGGCCAGAGCGAGGAGCACTGCCATTCTCCGCTGTCCCCCGACCGTCTCCTCATCCTGTCTGTCACCGTTAGTCACCAGACTAGTACACACTGCAATAACAGACAATGTCAAGTAATATCAAACAAAGTGAATGGAATAAGAGTAACTGTAGAATCATTCCTATACATTGAATTTTATGGCAAATCTAGTATTTTCACCAAAAAAAGATTCTCAAAATATCTGTCTAAATTTCAATTCAACACTGATAGCTACAATTCCTTCTCAGATTGCTTTAATGTCAGAAATTACCCTCTTTGTAGCAGTCTGGAGAATTTGCCACCAGACGACACAGCATCCAGTCTCCATTAGGAACATGGAGAAGGGTTTCTGAAACCTCCGTGATTGGCAACAGGGCAGGTAACTCAGCCTGGGCTATGCAGAGTACATCTGACACTTCCTCCAGATACACTAGACTCTCAAACAATTCACTACTCTTCTGGTAAAACTCGGTTTTTGATTCTCTGACCTACAGGTGGTATGATTTTACAGACAAATAAATCTTACAATTAAAGACAGGACTTGGAGTGATGATTGTCAATTGAAAAGGTACGTCATTCAACAACTTGTTTATGCAATCACAGAGAGTAAAATGTCAACATACACTTTTTTTTAATATCTCAAACTCAGCAGTGTTTAACTACTTTGGCAAATCCCTGGTTTCTAACAAATCAATAATCAGATGCATTTTGTTAGTGAATTCATTTAAAAAGGTCCCTATACTAGGCCAAAATAAAATTATAGTTTGTTTGGAATTGCCGCCCGCCTCATTGAAATACCCCCCGCTCAAAAAATTTTATTGGCAAAATATTGACAATATTATTTTTTTTTACCGTTTTATCATCTAACATTGTTTATTACAAGTTCGTTCGTCGAAAAAGCTTTTTAAAGTCGGGTTTGAGCTCCAGCGTTTTTTCTTTATATAACTGGTACCGATAAAGTGCACCATTCCCAATGCCAAAACGTTAATTTTTCCCAATTTTGTGACCAAAAATTCCCTATTCAACTGTGAAGCAGCAGACTATCACGACATCATATTTCTTTTTAAATGAAACAATGTACAAATTGACTAATTGTTTCACTTCTGCTTAAATCGAAAGTAGAGAAAGTCGTAATTTGGCGGGACCTGTGGAGTAAACAGCGTAGTATCTATACATTTTGACAAATTGAAAGCATGGAAATGTGGAAAACATGGGACATTGATAAAAAATGCAATAAGTTCTTGTTGCTTATTCTTCAAAACACGTAGTAATGGGTTATTTAGTTGGAATAAGCACAAAATACGTTTTATTTGATTAAAGGAGAGAAAATTTTCATTGTTCTTCTTTGATGTTATTTTTCTCAATTGAACCAGTACCGGACCTTTCCCAATAGGTGGAAAAAAAATCGCTGCTCTCATTAATTTAACAACACCAGTCAATAAAACGCTTTCTTCATAGTATTGATGATATAGCGATTATAGGTGGTGATTTGACAAACTGAAAGCCGCCAAAATGTCAGACCAGGTTGGGTCAGTGGATGTGCATTCGAGCGTTGAAGAGCAGAACATTTATGCATCTCCATAAAAATAAAAGGTGAATAAAAAATTAAATGGAATGGTACACCGATACCTGGAAAAAGCTGTTGTAATAGATTGCACGTTGAACTTGATAGGCTTAGTCCGTTTTTTAGATCCCATGCAGTTAAAAAAATACATGGATCAGATTATATCTGTTATCCCAAATACTAAAGGAAAAATGTTGTCTGTCAGTATGACAAGTCCTTGAAACGTAATGTTAAAACTGAATCATGGTGCACGCTCTAGAACATATCAAGCACCCGTTCCTGCTTTTCCACAAAACACCCTGGTAACTATTCTTAAGAAATTTTGTGTGGTTCACACTGTTTGTAAGGGTTGTCTTAACAAAGGGCTAAATTTCAAGAGAAATGCTATGATTTATTGATTTAGACTGATAAAATTATTGTTTAATTTTTTTTTTAAATAAACTGGAACGTTTGATGCTGAAATTTGACTGTTATTAAATGAGCAGATCTAAATAAGATTGAATATTTTAGTACTGTTCTGTAGATATAATTTTTCAAAATCAAAACAAAAATAATATTAATGAAATAAAAGAGGAAAATTAATAAAAATCACAAATGTTCATTGAGATTTTCATTTCTTATCATTTAGCTTCAATTTAAAAAAAAAAAGAATATGCCTCCCTCCCTCCTGGGTCTGAAAACCCCCAGGCGGCAATTCCAAACAAACAATTTTTTAAGGATGGCCCTACGGAAGCGTATTAGGACCGCAGCAGTATCTTATCTTTTATTAATTTGTTTTAACAAATTATCAATTTGTTATAAAAAAATAACAATTTGTTATAAAAGATTTGTAATTTGTTATAACAAATTAATAATTTGTTATAACAAATAAAAAAGATACTGCTGCGGACCTAATACGCTTCCGTACCATATTGCCCACCAAAATCAAGTTGGAGAGGAGAAATGCATAAAAAAAATATGTCTGGAGTCTCTGGACTGGGAATTGAACCTGGAACCCCTATATCACAAGTCAGGTGCTCTTCTACTGAGCTACCCAGTTCAATATCTACAGTCCATGTAGCCCAAACTTCTACATCAGTGCATGCAATAATGATATGTAAAATTGTTTTTGTAACAATCATTATTTGGAGAAGAAACATTTAATTATGATTAACATAACCACAGGCAGGCTATAGTTGTACTACCTGAGAAGCGACAAAGAGTAGTTCACTCAGTAACAATCTTAGTCTCCGAGGTGGATCGCTCCTCTCAAACTCCAGAGCTACTCCGTTCTGTAGCTGAGATATCAGGATACTTTCTGTCTGATTTCCCCCAAGTTTTGTTCTGCAAATACAATTTTTAACATTACATGATCTATTTAAACTTCTTGATGTGAAAGGGGTCATTGGTCATATAACTAGCAAAGAAAAATCATCCAACCTCAGTTGCTGTTCTTTGTTTACATCTTGTTCCAATGCGTGAAAATCTATGGAGAGTAATGCAACAATGCTGTTCACAACCTCGATGCCGGAGAGAATTTTTAGAACATCTTTTTTGGCTGTTGCCCATGATTCACTTTCATCCAATGGTTTGCAAAGAGCCATGCGAACTAAACATGGTAACACTGGACGCAGGTCCTTCTCCCGTAGTTTATTCAAAGTAGAGACATCAACATTTTGCATGGCCTGAAAAACCCTACTTTCAACAAACTCCCGCATCCTTCGTTTTATTCTAAAACCCGTCTGGTTATTGAGTTTTGTCTGCTAACCATGGGCGCCGCCATTTTTCGTAGTGCAAAAAGTCAAAAAAAAAAAAACGTAAACACGGATATTAACGGAATCTCTGGGACACCCCCTTTTTTCCCCTTATTTTCTCATTCCAAACGAAAAGTGTATTTATCTAAAAAAAAAAAATTAAATGATAAATATTATGTTTAATAATTCGTTGTTTTTACTTATTTATTACTTATTTATTTATTTATTTTTACTTATTCATTTATTGAATTTATTAATTTCTTTCTTTATGTATGATTCATTTATTTGTTTATTTATTTCTCTGATCATTTGATTGCTCGTTTGTAGAGTAGTGTAACACAATTTTGCAAATAAATTTTGTGTAGAATTATTGGGTATGGGTGGTGGGTGGGGGATAAGAGTGGAAAATTATCCGTATTTGTATTTTTACACTTGTCCGGAACAAAAATGGCAAGCATCCGGCAAAGCTCTGTGCCGAGTCCACAAGGTTTTCCCTTTTAATTGCATATATTTAGATGATTCTCCAAGTCTTTTTTTTCACTGCTTTAGATTATAAAAATTTTTCTTTTACATTAACTATCACCGTTTTAAAAAGAATGAGATACAACTTAAAGAACTGAGGAAATTCGAGATGCATTTATTTTTGCATTTGAGATAATCTTTTTCTTTCCTTTCTGGTGTACTTATTCTTTGACTGAAACCATCAATTCTTTTTCATGTGTTCTGAATTATTTTTAGAGACAGAGGAGCAACAGAAGCTACGATTTCAGACAGAGTTAGAATTTGTGCAATGTTTGGCAAATCCAAATTACCTCAATTGTAAGTCAGTAATTAGTCCAAAATATCTCACATTTTACTTACTTATGGTTACTTATGGTATTTTTCCAACACAGGTCCTGTCAAGGTCCTCTTCGTCGGACTCAAACCTTGCTTTGTGACTACTTGGGTGACTACCAGTGTAATCGGTTTTAAAGTCTACTTTGTAATTATAGAGCACATCCTGGTCCTTCCAGAAGTTGTCTAGTCTATTCTTGAAAGTATTCAGAGTTTTAAAAAGAATTTTCGTGGCTTTTTACGATTTGATAAGTTATCTGCCATAAAAACGTCAGAGATGACCCATTACGAAAACTTGAAATTCGCTGCATCTAACTGAATCAGCATTCTAGGGTTGTTTTTCGATACTTGAATACAAAATTTTAAAAGTGTTAAACTCACAACTTATCAATAGTACAATACTTTTAGTACTTAGCAACATCATTTTTATGGCTCGATTAAAAGATATACAATATCTTATGAAAACATTTTATCAGACTGTGGAGATTTAATTACTGTAGAAGTACTTTTTTCCACGTGGTATTACTATTAATTTACGCTATGTACGCGGTAACAAATTTTCTGCGGAAATTTGTCCAAGCGTACTTAATATAAATGTAAGGCATATAGTGACAAACCAGAAATTGAAATTCTGTGGAATTTTGACCCCGTGGAAAAAAGTTTGTCTACAGTATTTTCATTTTGTGCATTTTATTGCAAATCTTGTATTGAAATGTGGTGTGATATTTTCTTTTCATCAATACTGGTGAGTACTAGAAGCATTGTGCTTTTGATAAGTTGTGAGTTTGGCATTTAATTTTCACTAGTATCGGAAATTATCTCTGGTTTGAGACTACAAAATTTCCAGTTTTCTTAATGGTGCCAGTTCATGTTTTCCTGGCACATAATATTTCAAATAAAAAAAAAAAGTCAGTAAATGTCTGATATTTGGGACTAGTCAGTAATATGAAGTTGGCTGTTCAGCTGAAAAACTGTTAAACAAGAAATAACTTCATTTTACCATAAAGGTATTAATGGCTAACTTCTTTATTATATGTAACCAGGAAATGTAAGAAAACTTATGGTGGCAATTAATTGAAGAATTTTGTTTTCAGTTTTAGCTCAAAGAGGATACTTCAAGGATCCTACCTTTATAAACTACCTTAAGTATCTGCAGTATTGGAAAGATCCCAAATATGCTAAATATCTCAAGTGAGGCTTCAATTATTGATTATTTAGAAGGCCAATTTTATTTATCATCTCTTCACAGCTATACATTATTCATAAACTTAAGAAACAGAAAATCCAAGGAATATTTTATTAAAGACTTGTATCAATTATTTTACCAATATTTTTCAATTCTTTTTGTAATATTGTTCTTTTCTTTTCAAAATTAAGCTCTCAATTTGCAATTATTGCATTTTATTAGGTCACCTGAGTCACTCAGGTGACCTATTGCTATCTGTTTTCGTCTGTCGTCGTTCGTCGTACGTCGTTCGTCGTCAATCGGTCGTAAACTTTTGAACATTTTCAGCTTCTTCTCTGCAACCACTGAACCAATTTCAACCAAATTTGGCACAAAGCATCCATGGGTGAAGGGGAACAAAAATTGTGAATTTCATGATCCCTGCCCCCCTGGGGCCTGGGGGGTGGGGCCAAAACCACTTAAATTAATGCAATCTTTAAAAATCTTCTTCTTTACTCCTGGACATTAAGCAGTCAAACTGTTTGCATGATTGTAATCAGCACTGAGTCCTCTACCAAAATTGTGAAATTCATGGCCCTGGGGTAAGGGGTTCTTGTGCTAGGGTGGGGCTAAATAAGTATATAGTGAAAATGCATTATTTCTTTGAAAATCTTCTTCTCTGCTCCTGGGTATTAAATAAACTAACTAAGTACATAGTTATGATGAACAAGAGTGCCTCTACCAAAATTGTGAATTTTATGGCCCCAGGGTCAGGGGTTCTGGTGTTAGGGCGGGGCTCTGTTGATTATATAGTAAAAATACATGAAATCTTTGAAAATTTTCTTCTCTGCTCCTAGGTATTAAATAAATTAACTAAGTGCATAGTTATGATGAGCAAGAGTGCCTCTACCAAAATATTGTGAATTTTATGGCCCAGAGGTCAGGGGTTCTGGTGTTAGGGCGGGGCTCTATTGATTATATAGTGAAAATGCATTATTTATTTGAAAATTTTCTTCTCTGCTCCTGGGTATTATATAAACTAACTAAGTACATAGTTATGATGAGCAAGAGTGCCTCTACCAAAATTGTGAATTTTATGGCCCCAGGGTCAGGGGTTCTGGTGTTAGGGCGGGGCTCTATTGATTATATAGTGAAAATGCATTATTTCTTTGAAAATCTTCTTCTCTGCTCTTGGGTATTATATAAACTACATAGTACATGTACATAGTTATGATACACCAAATTGTGAATTTTTCAGGGTTTAGGGTTTGGTGTTAGGGTGGAGCTCTATTGATTATATAGTGAAAATACACGAATTCTTTGAAAATCTTCTTCTCTGTTCCTAGGTATTAAATAAACTTACTAAGTACATCAAAATTTTGCGATATGATGAGAAAAATATTTTTGCGAAGCAAGTGCCTCTACGGCAAAAACCAAAATTATGAGCAAGAGTATTCTACCAAAATTGTGAATTTTATGGCCCCAGGGTCAGGGGTCTGGTGTTAGGGCGGGGCTCTTTTGATTATATAGTAAAAATACACAAATTCTTTGAAAATCTTCTTCTCTGCTCTTAGGTATTAAATATACTTACTACGTACATAGATATGATGAGCAAGAGTGCCTCTACTAAAATTGTGAATTTTATGGCCCCAGGGTCGGGGGTTCTGGTGTTAGGGCGGAGCTCTATTGATTATATAGTGAAAATACATGAATTCTTTGAAAATCTTCTTCTCTGCTCCAAAGTATTAAATAAACAAACTAAGTACATAGTTATGATGAACAAGAATGCCTCTACCAAAATTGTAAATTTTTATGGCCCCAGGGTCAGGGGTTCTGGTGTTAGGGCGGGGCTGTATTGATTATATAGTGAAAAAACATTAAATCTTTGAATATTTTCTTCTCTGCTGCTGGGTATTAAGCATATGAACTACCTATATAGTTATGAGCAAGGGCCCTTATCTTCCAGAATTGTGAATTTCAAGGCCCCAGGATCAGTAGTACCATAGAGGGGGGGTCTGTACTGAAAAATAATGAATTGTTTGAAATTTGCTCCTTGGTCTTAATCAAATACTTTTGAAAAGCAAGGATGCCTTTTCAAAAATTGTGCAATGTGTGGATCTAGGCCTAAGAGTCAAGGGTTCATGTGTGGTAGCGGCACTACTGATTATTGCTGAATATTACTGATTTGTTGAAATGCATTTTTTGTTCCCCTACCCTGCCTATGGGTATTAAGTAACCAAACTTAGCAACACCTAAGTGTATTGTTATGATGATCAAAATTGTAAATGCTATAGCATCTGGCTTAAAACATGGATCAAATTCAATCACTGGAAAGTTGTTGCATAATGCTCAGGTGACCTATAAGGCCCATGGGCCTCTTGTTTAATGTACTTGTCACCAGGTTCACAGGTGCGTGAAAAGGTGGAGTCAATATATCGGGTCTCAATATCTCAGTTCGTTAGAGCACTGGCACGTTACGCCAGAGGCCTTGGGTTCGAGTCCCGGTAGAGACTTGACTTTTTACCACCGGTGACATATACTTATTTTGAAATAATGCCTGAAATGAAGAAATTTGCATGCTTATAATTAAAAGTACTTTAAATTCATCTTGAGATGAAGTAAAACATGATTATGGACTTTTCTGGTTTTTATCAAGATACCCCCAGTGTTTGTTTTTCCTGGAGTTGTTGCAGTATGAACATTTCCGTAAGGAGTTGGTGAACTCTCAGTGTGCTAAGTTTATAGACGATCAACAGTTACTGCACTGGCAGCATTATCAGAGAAAAAGAATGGCTCTATTACACGAAGAAATGACAGCACAAAGGGCACTACAGCAGCCCAAGGAGAAGCCAGGATAACAAGAGGGATCTCTACCTTCTACTTAATGTTGAGTGTTGTAATCAAGGAATGTAATTTTGTTACACATGTATTTATATGAATAATGCTCACACAGTACTCACTCTGTGAAAAGCAATAACTAGTGAAATGCTCACAGGAAGAATTTTCATCTTATATGCTGCATGTGTGTAGATATTATGAAATTAGTATCTCTTTCACAAAAGATTTACCAGGTGATTTGTCATTTGAATTGGGTGTTGTTAACAATAGAGACTGTGTAATTGAACATTTTCTTTAAAATGGTCTTGTTAAGAATAAAATATAAGAAAACTCTATTTGTACTTTACTAGTAGGGCTGTATCAATATTTCGATATGTATCGATATTCAAGAATCATATCCTCTCGAAAAATAACTCCCAATACGTATCGGACAAGCAGTTTTTCTTCTAATTCTGCTAAAAAGGTGGAAATTATAATCAGCAAAGATTATATTTCACCTTTTTTGATTAAAACTGATCATTAATTATAGATTTATAAAAGAATTAACACAGTTTTTATAGTTATAATAAAATACATAACAATTTTATTTTAACATGTGATTTTACAATCGTTAAAAGTTTCGATTTGAAGTGTTTTATTTACTGACTATGGGATAAGAACTTTGAAATGGGTAATAAAACACTAAATTTTTTATGAAATCCATGCATTAAATGATTAATAAGCCTTTTTTGATGGACTTGTTTTAGAATCCAATATATTGCATATCGCTTTAAAAAATATTATATTGTATTGTATTGTATCGAAAGTTTTTGCTCAATACACAGCCCTATTTACTAGTAAATAATATTGATTTTAAAATAAAATACCGTCAAGGACATTTAAAAGATTATAATAATCAGTACATGAAAATGTTCTCTACAACATGACTGCAGTTGTTGATAAAAAAAAACAGAATGCAAAAATATATATTTGTTTCATTGATAACATACAGACTTCACTGGAGAGACTCAGCAATCATTTATTTGTGGGGATAGCCATTTAAATTTTTTTAACTTTTAGTTTTAAATTTTCCTGAAGTAACTGATTCACCAAAAAGATAAAACTTTTTTGTTCTTATTTTTATTATGAATTACTTGAGTATTCAACTTATTATTTTTTTTTATTAAAAAGCAATTAAATTTTATGGTAATCAGGATTTTACCTTAAAATCATAAATATTCAACGTAAACAAGATGTTATTAACATTTTGAAGTAAAGGGGGGGGGGGGGTCTGAGCACAGGCGTAAGTCAGGTTTGAAGAACACAAGTTTATTCATGACAATGCTCTACTTCATAAGAGTAACTTAGCTCAAAGTGTTTTGAAAGAAGAATTTAAGATTAAGCTTTCTTGTCTTCCATATTCTCCTACACTGTAGCTTAGTCCAGTTTTCCAGACTGAAACAGATGTTGTAGAGTTAACAAAGCTTAAACATGATTTTTAAAGAAGACTGCACCATGTTTACCTCAGGGCTTTCAAACCATGTGTGTAAAATTTAATGAAGGATGCATTAGAGAATTATATTGATCAATATTTTGGTTAACATCTTGGTTATTTCATTTTATTGATAATATTTTTTATGTAATTATAATAGCATTGCCCATGTTGTTTAGTATTATTTAAGTAATAATATATCCTGCTATTACTTGTGTATGGTGCACATCTCTAAATTTTTTCAATAGGCAAGATCATGCTTCAAGTACGATCAATTTTTAAACCAAAGCAGACAACTGATAGTTAAGTTGATGTTACAGAAATGTCAACAATCTCGTTCATAGTCTGTATTTCGTAAATTCTATGGTTGTTATTATGACTTTCTTTCCAAATGTAACCTATCATAGATTTTGGCTGACATCTTTCATACCAATTGTTAGACTTTGTTTTTATACTGAATTTGACTTTTAAATGTTCCATCCACCAGAGTAGTATATTGGGGTCTAAGTCAACAAGGTAAGCTTACTACTCCTAGGTATCTTATCCACGTAGAATTTTCAGGTATCTATATCTTATGCCTTCACAGAATTGTATCATAGATCTTTTCAGATCGATCACTGATATTTTTCTTTTGCATTAGAATAAGATTGGTCAGTGGTATTCTGTAAATGTCAGATAAGGTTTAGGAATAATCACTTAAATGGCTCTTTGGCAACAAAAATAAACTGGTTCCTTGAACTTCTTAGAAACTTTTAAATAGTCTTCTTAAAAAGATCAATGAAAATTCAGTTTTTGATTCCTTGACACTAGAATATAGACTCAGATCTGTGATTATGGATATTACGAATCAGGCTTTTTAAACACCCACATTTTACTGAAGAAAATCCGCTTTTTTCCTTCAATATGCCAACAAAGGAATTGACGCGGTTAATGCAAGTAATATTCTTAATAACTATAGGGTCCAGTCTTGTGTGTTAAAATCGTGCATTTAGCGATTGAGAGGCAGCATAAAAACCAACTATCCTGTATTCAATAAGCCAGACGTGAAAAAATAATTAGATAGATTACATGATCAGTACGTACTGGTCCCTGCCAAAGCCGATCACAAAATTGTCTTTGTAAGGCTAATTTTATAAAATGTATTTTAGAGGAACTTGAATTTAATTCTACAAGTGTTAATCCAACTTATACTCATGGTTCCCTTTCTAAGGGAGAAATTCTTCAAAAACACGTCATTATTGAATATTTTAAAGATCCCAAAGAACCAAAATGAATTTGAATTGCCATATATATATTGGATTCCGAAACTTTGTAAAAATGAATAAAGACACAACGCGGGTTCCGGTGTCATATAGTGAGACTTCCGCCATAGTGGCCCCTTCCCCCCGGAAGTCTGGCTATATAGTGAGTCTTCCCCCTGGGGAGAAATATGGCTATATAGTTAGACTTCCCCCCATAATGATCATAGTGAGTATTCCCCCTTCGGTTTTCGGTTTGGATTTTATATACATGTACATTGACATAATTAAATATTTATTGTATGCTTTAGGGACCTTTTAACTTTTATAAATTTCATAAAGCATTTTTAGGATTTGTATTTCATTTTGAAATTAAATTTGCGTGATATTAATGAAATTACATCACTATAAAATCAAATAAGATGGATTTGAGTTCTAATACACTTTAAATCAAATTCTGACTGTCATGCATATTTTAGCAAAGGCACCGGATGCATGGAATGGGCTTAACCCCACCCCTTTTTTTAAATTTATGACCGGAAAATTGCATGAAAATGTGTGCATCCCCTGCTCATCACACCCATACATCAATTCATACACAAACAGAAAAACAAACAAACAAAACTATGCTATCAATATTATTTTATTCAAATGCTGAAAACAATCAGAACATTTCATATTTAAGTGACTCGTGAACTAATAAAATTATTCGTTATCAATACATGTAAAGGAAAGGGTAGACATATTATATATATTATATCGTCTCAATGTACATGCATATGTTATAACGGATATCAAACAGTTAAAGCGATATTCAAACTGTTCATGCATATAAAATAAATATATAAATACATGTATATATATGGAGGATAATTTCGTCATAAATTAACACTGTTAGAATTTTTTAAAATAATAAAACAATGTTCCAGAAACTATAATAAGAGGGGGAAGTCTCGCTATGAATGGGGGAAGGCTGGCTATAAAGTGAGCCTTCCCCCCGGAAGAACGGCTATATAGTGAAACTTCCGTGGGGGAAGTCTCACTATATAGCCATTCTTGGGGGGAAGGCTCACTGTATCTCAGCCAGCCTTGCGGGGGGGAAGACTTCACTATATAGTGAGCCTTCCGGGGGAAGCCTCACCATGGGGGAAGTCTCACTATACGACACCGGTAAATATTCAATCAAGCCTCTTTCTTTACATCTCACAAGATATTAACAGTAGTGAAGGAGAAACTTGACGAGTACTGTGCAACATATATTTCGAGAAGTGGTATAAAGCAGATGTGGAATTATTAAAAATTTCAAGGAACTTTTTAGAAATTTTGATATCACAAGATTTACCAAAATCAACAGCCGTAAAAACCTACGACCATATCCCACGATAAATTAAAGACCAGGCTTTTTCATATCATTGACAGTTACTTTTTCAATAAAAAAGGAACTCGTAAACTTATTTTGTACCTTGTCATTGGTCATTTGAAAAATTATTTTGTTAAAATCATTCTGATTGTACACACAAGTACTCTGAAGTTGACATTAAAAAGATCCCCGAGTTTCTGATTGACAGTATTATTTGATTTTTGGAGACCAGGTCCTCCAAAATCTGTTGGAATTCCCATGGGGTACCAATTGAGTCCCGTTATTAGCGGACCTTTTTCTGTATTCATATGAAGCAGAATTTGTCCAAAATCCTATACGTGGAAAGAGGAAACACTTGCTGTGGCCTTCAAATCTACATTTAGCTATATCGACGACGTATTGTTAATTAGGTCTTTCCACCTTTCTGTGGAAAGACCTCTTGAAATGCTTCTGTTTTTAGGTCTTTCCACCTTTCTGTGGAAAGACCTCTTGAAATGCTTATGTTTATTATTAGGTCTTTCCACCTTTCTGTGGAAAGACCTCTTGAAATGCTTATGTTATTATTATTATTATTATTATTATTTTTCTTCCCGGACTTTTGAAACCGCAAGACTTATCGAAAAACCTTATAGTTCATCACATTGGATATTAAAAGTTATTCTGAAAAACGACCCCCATGTTTGATCTTTGACCCCTTTCAAAGTTATTGCCCCTTTCGCAAGAAATGCTTGTTATCGCTACTCCTTCGAAACCGTAAACCGTAGAAATATGAAACCTTCACTAAAGTCTTCGACTCATTGAGAGGACTCTGGAATCTGTTCATTGCGAAAGTATTCGGTGACTCCTTCAATGAGTTATTGCCCTGAAACTTTTTGAATTTTAGAAATAATTAAAAATTTTCAAAACGAGAAGTGATAGAGACATGGGACCAACTGCATAAGATTCATTGAGCTTTGAGCTTAAAATTCATGTAAAGGTCAAAGGTCAAGGTCATTCCAAAATTGAGAAATTAAGCTCTTTTTATATCTTTTTTGTCTCGTAACATATACAAACTGTCTTAGCATCATTAATATGTACTATTAAAACTATTTTAAAGATTCAATTCGTATTCCGTAAGATTGACCCTATTAAAAGTTATCGCCCTTTGTGCGGAGAACCTTGTTATCGCTACTACTGCGAAACCATAAACCGTACAAATATGAAACCTTCACTAAAGTCTTCGACTAATTGAGAGGATTCTGGAATCTATTCATTGCGAAAGTCT